AATAATCATAAGAAACAAAAAATATTTATACAGCTTATATTAAACAAATATGGGTTTGTGTACTTCAAAAAACAATTTAAAAACAAACCAAAGTAATCCTCATAATTAAAAGTAGTAATGTCCACGTGAAACAACACATTAAAGTAAAATAACATAAAGGAATGATTCCAAGAAAAAAATGACAAGTTAAAAGAAAGAAAGAAAATCTCTGCAACCAGATACCTATACTGTAACAAATGAGGTATAACATATCAGGAAACAACAATTTCCAATGAATGTTAAGTTTCAGATCTACTTGATGTTCATCAGTGAGGATTAATATCAAACTAAGAATCTATTTTGAGAGTGTATTTTTTAAAAAACGCATCAAAATATGAAAAAAAAACCCACAACAGCTGCCTAAAACCTAAGGAGAGGGAGAGTAAAGAGAAAAACCTAGTGAAGGGGGAGGAGGGGGAGAGACAGAGAAGAAAAAGAAAGAGGTTACAATGACCTAGTATTTCCTCTTTGAACACCTGATTTCTACATATCACACGGAGAACTATAACTGCTAAAAATATCTAAATAAAGTTATTCAAAAACCCATGGAAAGGTTTGGGCTTTTAACATGACCTAATTAAAACCAAAAAAAAAAAAAACAATAAAGTTCTCATTATAAGAATTAAAAAATACCCTGCATAAACACATAATCATACATAGATGAATGCAGGCACATACATACACCCACTAAAATAAGGAAGTGTTACTGGGATCTCATAATTCGAATTTTAAGTATAAAACTACACATATTTTATTAAAGAAAAAATGTTAAGTTATGAATGTAAGTCCAACAGATTTTTTTTTTGTTTATTTTTGGTCGTGGGCCTTGAACTCGGGGCCTTAGCTTCTCTCAAGGCTAGAACTCTACCTCTTTTAGGCACAGCTCCACTCCCCCGACAGATTTTTAAGCTTCTATCGAATATTAAATCTATATATCAAATTTTTAAAAAAGGAAAACGATTAAAAAGTAAACTATCAAATACTAACTAAATAAATAATAAATCAAAAGTTCCCTGCTAAATCTTCACAATCAGAATATCTTAAGCTAAACTAGACATCTACAGTTTATAAAACTACTTGCTGTTTTCAATTAAAAGAATGGAAAAGCAGCAAATAAGTATAAAACAATCTCTTTTAAAAGTATAGAAATGGACACATTTCTATAAATTTACTATAAAATTACTATACTAAACTATAATCTTAGCTGAGAAAGTAAAGACTAATTCAAAGGATAACAATAAGTACAGATAGTATATTTAAACATTGCATTGCTATATTTGAAATACCTTAGTATTTTAAGTTTGACCAATTTTGACAAACTACTAAAGATAAATAGGAAAGATGTTAACTCCTCAATTTTTTTCCAATTGATTTCCAATTCAAAGCTGTGCTTTATTTCTGTGGTATCAAGTTACATAAGGTACAGAGTGGACCTAAATGTGCTGTTGATTCCAACAAACATTAATATATCCCAAAATAATGAAGTTTTAAGTGACTTAAAGAAAAACCTGTGCTTTCCATTCCTGATTATAAGCATGACATTTATTTGCAATGACTACCCATGAGTCTCTCTCCACCACAGGTAGGAAGCTATTTCTAATGAAACAGTATTAAATGGATCACTGTTGTTTTGAAATTTCTATCTCAAAGTGATATGTGCTCCAAAGCGGATAGATTTCCAATTTGGGGGTAGTGAGATATTATGTGGATAATGAATACATGAATTTCAAAACACATGATTTCACTATCATTCTCTTGCAGGATTTGAAGGCCCTTATGCAGGAGGGAAGGCACATATTCAAAAAGAGCAAGAACAGCAATTCTAACCCATAGATTACATATATGCAAGAAGGTTACCTAAAGAAAAAGAACAAGCACTTAAAAGGCAAATCAGATGTTAAAAATTATTCAAATTGATTTCAGGTCAATTTGGAGAACCAAAGTAGACACAATAAATAAAGCTCTTTTAAGGAAGAGAATATCCAGCAAAAAGTTAGGATCATAAAACGTGTCAAAGAATCCTGATACAGAAACTAAAAGCTCATTCTAAAGAAGAAAAACATTTGCTTGTCCTACTACAAAAGCTACCTAAATATTCTCAACTGCTAAACTGCTATTATGCGCGTATAAAACCATGTTTAGAAATTCCACATTATGTCAACAAAAATCTTCCTACTATTTGCAATGGATAATAGAGATAATGATCACAGTATCACACCTTATTTATGAAAGAAGATAGCTCCCCTTTACCTTAGATAAATCTATGTTAAACGAACATTTTTCAGTGTAAAACTTGCTCGTGTGCACAGTAAAGCATGGTAAGACTGTTTTTAAAACAACAAAATGTACTGGGTTTTAATCACTAAACATTTATTCTGAAAAAGTTCTGGATATCTGAATAATAAAGGATTTAAATCATTCCCATGTCCTCTCAGTGTATTTTGGGAAGATCAGTTTTTTGTAAAGAATGTTACAAACATGTTTGCATAGTTCTCTTCAGCTATTATGAAGCAAAAACAGACAAGAAACTGTGCAAAAAGAATATGTACAAGGATATTTTAGTTGCAACTCACTGAGCACCCCCTTACTCCACTGTATATCCCAGATAACCTTTTGTAATGCACCATCTCTGCCCACCCTCTCAGTCATATATTTCATGCCACTCCTAGTTATTATCATTCTGTGAAGAAGTCTAACATGCAGATTCAGTGTGGCGTGGATAAATGGTTAAAAAAAAAATGCCTAGAAAATTGGTCTATTCTCCTTTATAATTTTTGTTGAAAAATATCCCCCCATCGCTCTCATCTGATGAAAACAGGAAGCTCTATTCATAAATACAAAATTCACTGCCTATGATATATAATCATCTTAATAAGAAAATGAGTTCTATACATACATGTCCAAGGGGGCAAAGAGAAGAGATAGTTTCCCAAAGATGTTTTCAATTTTCTTTTGAATCAGAATTAGCAAATGGAGACGACTAACATACTCTGTCTGTGTGCAATATTCCTTACTACACACAGCATTTTGTAATTTATTTCAAAGCTTTCATTATAAACAAAAAAAATACAGCTTCTGTTAACCCACTCCATTCTGGGTCCATAAAATCTAAGGCTGAATAACCTAAGGTACAACTTAAGTATTTTACTTTATATATGTATAAAATGTGGAATAAAAAGTTCTACTGATGTCTGAACAAACTACTTAAAGAATTATACAAAGTGGATATTTTCTTAAATTATAAATTATAATTATAAAGAAAACTAAGATTCTTCCTCCAAAAAAATGATTTTATAACTCTTACCAGTTTTAGGCTCTTTAAACTAGTCATAAGATAAAGGAAAACATGATATAAATAATTCTAATCACATATAATCTTTATTATAAGAGTCACTGTCTAATATTGAAAACAAACTAGACAGGTATGATTTAATATCTGTAAAGGAATCCCCAGACCAACATTTTCATGACAACCAATTACAGTCAAGCCCAGCAAGCAGTTTGCAAGAAGACCTTTAAAAAGGTAAACTTTTACAATGAGTTACAGATTCACAAGTTTAAGAAGACAAGAAAAAGGAAAACAGAAGGAAGTCAGCCACCCTAGCAAATATAAAGCAGACCCCAAAATGTGATACAATCCAAAGATGTAAATTATTGTAAATCATCACTGTTGTTCAGAATTTCACACAGTCTCTCGAGCCAATTTTGCTCACTCTTCCACAGACATAATATAGAACTAAAAAGAGGAGGGGAGGGGATAAGAAAAAGGAAAGGACAAAAGGAGGGGAAGTGGTAGGAAGGAAAGCCCTTAGCTGCAGAGGTCTGCTTTAAAAAATGTTCAACCTTACAGGAGTTCAGGCTCCTTCAGCATTTTGTATTCTATCCAAATCCTCATGAGTCAGAAAAATTAAAAAGCTATATCCTTCTGCATGCCAGGAAAGGCCTTACCACAAGCCTTTTGTCAGAGAGAGAGACAGACAGAAAGAGAGCGAGGAGAAGAGAGGAGGGGAAGGAGAGAGAGGAGAGAGGAGAAACAGGAGTGAGAGTAGATAGAAGAGAGAGGAAGGAGACAGAAAAGGAGAGAGGAGAGAGAAAAGGAGAGAAGGGGGAGACAAGACAGGAGAAAGGAGAAAGAAGAGAGGAGACAGGAGAGAAGAAAGAAGGAGAGAGAAGGAAAGAGAAGAGAGGGAAGAGGAGAGAGAGGAGTGGGGGGAAGAACAGAGAGAGGAGGAGAGAAAGGAGAAAGGGCAAGAGGGAAAACAGAGGGAGAGAGGGAGGGAGAAAGGAGGCAGAGAGGGAGGGAGAGAGGAGAAAGGAGGGAGAGACAGAGGAGAAAGGAGGGAGAGAGTGAGAGTGAAAGAGGAAGAGAGGGAGAGACGAGAAAGAGAGAGAAGAGAGAGAGGGGAGAGAGAGAGAGAAAGAGAGAGAGAGCGTAAAGGGAAAGCCACAGTGGTAGGCAGTCCCACTTTACTTTGAGTACTGTGAGGTCACAAACCACATGATTCTGTCTCTCCAGTAATAGTGCTTGCAAAAAAAAGGAGTTTTAAAGCTTTTGCTTTTTTGGATTGTGTGAATGCTTCATTCGCCTCACAAACAACCACAGAACCACAAGTGCGGTGCAAACTTTCTCCAGGAGGACAGCAAGAAGTCTCTGGTTTTTAAATGGTTAATCTCCGCAGGTCACTACCAGCCACCGAGACCAACAGAGTCAGTGAGTGCCCTCTAACCACAGTCTATGCAGTAATAGTAGGTCCTTCAAATATTTGCTCATTCTCTTTTTGTTTTGTTTCTTTGCTTTTCACATGTTACCAGCTACATAATTTCTTGACAGAAAAAAATAAATATAAAGTCTATGTACTCCAGGCATACTGTAAAACTAAAACAAGGTTTGGGTATGGTTTGTATTTTCAGTTTAAGGCTGCAAGCAGTATTTACAACAGAGTGTACAAGTTCTATCTGGAAAAGAAGGAGGGACTATGGCATCAAACAGCCTCTTCAGCACAGTGACACCATGCCAGCAAAACTTCTTCTGGGGTAAGTGTTATCATATTTTAAAATCCTATAAGATATGAACCTGCAAAACATAAAGGTGTGATTCTTGATAAGCTGCTAGTTTGTCCAGATAAGGGTAAAGTACATAAGAATAATGCTATTTTGTTCATCAAAAACTGAAAAGTGAAATTGCTGCAAATACTTGTGCTTAGCATCTGTAACTTTAACTCTCAGAGTAATGACATGAAATAGACAAAATTAAATGATCTCATGGTAATCAAAACGTTTTCCAGAGGCACTGAAATGAGGATGTCAAAACAGTAAAAGTTCTATATTCTCATTAACCTTCACTTGAACAAAATCAGATGCTAAATTAACCGAGTTTATTAAAAATTATTGACTCGGCAGCTCTCAATATTTGAGCAAAGTTCAAAAAGGATACAATTTTACAAAATAACAGACCACAAAATTATCATTAACATTATGGCCTTCCCTGTACGTTACAGAAATAAACCTGGAGGAAAGCTAACATTTTAGCTAGTTCAACTAAAAGAAATCTATTTATAATTTCTAAGTGCATCATAAGATATATACATTCTTATTTCTAAACAACTTGATATAAATGAAATACAGATTAAACTAGAATAAAATTATTCTAAGTACATCATAGCCATTTTGAAAAGATCTTTAGAGTTACCCGGGATATTTAAAGTTTAAAAGTCCTTTAAAACTTATATGCAAATGTATTTTTTTAATTTTAATGTTTCATCTATACACTGTAATAACTTATTAAACTTGTGATAGACTCAGGAAACACAGAAACATCTAAGATTCTTTTAATCACTTTCTTGGACCTACAAAAATGAATACTGGTTTTAATCTAGGGGAAAATAAAACTCCAAAAGGATACCCTGGATTATTTTAAAGAGCCATACTTATTAAAGTATGCTGGATTTCAATAAAACAGAATAGGCATAATCCAGCCCTCTAATATTTAACTCCAAGTTAAGTTTGATACAGGCATATAAGTGATCTCAATATTCATCAGCTGGCAGGGTACTAGAGTAAAATATCAGAGCACTTACAAGATTCGCTTTATGATGTCCAACATGTTCCCACTACGAGGCAGTTTTGTTTTCTTTTTTCCTTTAAAATAAATCTTTTTGCTACATCTACCAATATAAACTTTGCTAGTTGTTTTCAACTAATGATTGGAGTCTGCTTACTCCTCCTACTTTATACATTTTAACTGGCCACTGCTGAAGAGAGGATCAGTCTGAGTTTAGGTCAAAGAGAAATAATTAAACCTGAAGAGAGGGGAAAAGGTTTCTCTTCTAGAGTGAGGAAATGTACTTCATATTTTACAAAACGTAAAATTGCTGTAATGACTCCCTCAATAGCTATAAGTGGGTCCCTTCACAGTTACAATACATACAACATAATAATCACTGATTATATAAAATTTTAATAGTGGATATTAAGCATTACTCAAACTTTCTGTATGTAGGAAGCAGAAAATAACTCCAACTGGACTGCATTATAACCCATATTGTAATTATAGCTCACATGGAAGACCTTTTGCTATTACCTCTCAAGAGGTGAGAAAAAATTGTTAATGCTATTGTTATATGGAGGGATTAGCTGAAACAGGCATATCAAACAGTTAAGAACACTTCAACATTAGAAAGAAAGCTGTCACAAAGAATGTGATGAAATGTTCCTTCTATTTTACAAGGGGTCTTATTTTATAACATTTTTAAGAAATATTCACATTAAAATCTCCAAAACCTGATAAAGTTTCTATGGAAGACATAAAAGTAAGCTGATTTATTTTATTAGTACTACATAATATCTTTAACACTGTAACCAATTCTTCATCTTCTGTAAATTTCACTCTTTCCCTTCCCCCTCCCGCAAATAGCACTTCAGAGCCTAACAAGCACCCAGTACACTACACTACATTACAGGTGGAGAGAGGACTTTCAGTATAGGTTATTATCACAATGCATACATGTCATCATTCCATAATCTATTTGAAGTCTAAAATCTCACTTTCGCCTTTAAATTCGTATAGAAGGACTATTACAATGACCTAATAAAATGCTTTAAGAGTATAGCTCAATTTTATAAGGTAGTTAAAAAAGACAATTGAGATAAAGGACAAAGGACATATTGACTGATTATCTCGCCTCAACTCTAATGAATGAAAAGTGTGTCAGTATGTGAGCATGGAGAGAATGTGTGTGCATGTGTGTGTGTGTGTGTGTGTGTGTGTGTGTGAGAGAGAGAGAGAGAGAGAGAAAGAGAGAGAGGAGCGAAAGAGAGAAAAAGCCAGTTAAGAGTCTAAATGTCCTTGATCTCTCAGCATACTTTTACCAAGAGCTTTCAAAATATATTCAAGCTTGTTGGAAACAGTAGATTGACTCACTATCTTATAATTAAGAACTTGTGAAAAATTATCAGCTGACTGATTAAATTTCTACATAAAATCTTCATAATTGACCAAAGTTTTAACTGATAAGACAGATAGATGTATGACCAGTGATTTCCAAAACAATATTTGTGGTCTTATCAATGACAGTTTTCTCTCTAAAACAAGAAGAGCTAAATTCCATAATCTAGGGAGAATTAAGTCAAGAACTAACATTGAAAACTAATATATATTACAAGCTAAAAATTTCAGGGCATACAATTCCCAAAAGATTTCATTATTACATGAAATATGCTTAATGATTCTACTTTCAACTTTTAATAATGGTTTGTGATATAAATGATTAAAAAGAAATTGCAGGAAAAGATCATAATAGTTCATGTGAACCTCTAAATCACAAGAAAGGCATGAAATATACATGATTTCATTATGATACATTTTAGTTCTTTTAATAAAAAAAATTAATCTATTCAATTACACCCTTCAAGCTAATCACTGATAGTCTGACTTGTTTAAATCAGTCATGCTAAAGTTGAATTCAGCAAGATAGAAATGTTCCAGTTTGTTAAAAGAACACTGAAGTATTTGATGGTTAAATAAACTGCAGGGGGGGAAGCTAACTCATTGAAGGCACTAAGATTTTATCAAACACACAGAATTAATCTTTATTGAATAGAACCATTCACAAATCAAATCACACTGTACTTCAATACTTTCAAGCAGCGCTAATCAATTACAAACCTTTTCTAGTGCTTCAAAACTCATGTGCTTTCAATTTTACACACTGGTGGTCCTCAAGTACTATATTGGGGCAGAGTTAAGACATTCTGTATCACAACTTTTTTTCAACAAATATTCATCTAGAGGCCATTTTTTCCTCTCAAGAGCTGCTCACATGAAAATGTGGTAATATTTTTATACTGTACTTCTTTGTTAAAGTAAAAGGTTAAAGGTTACCTAAATACTTCAACTATATATATTATATATATAAAGGAAAAGGTAAGTATTCATATAAAGAATCCAATGGGACTGGATTATTTATATTTGCATTTCCTATGATTAATGATGCACCCATGCATACTTGAAAGCTGATGGCAAAACAGGGTAACATCTCAAATTGCTCTCCAAAGCATAAAAATGCCAACATTCAGTGATGCTTTAAAATTTGTTCCACAGCACTAAGCTATGACAATCCTATGTAATGCAAAAGTTCATCAGAAACATTAAGAATTAAAGTCTTCAGAGACATTTTATGTAAGTTTCATTAAAGCAACCTCTAGTGTCTCTTAAAAAAATTATAGCTAAATACAAAAAATAACATCAATCCAATGTGAAAAAAAAATTCCTGCAAAGTCTAAAATTGTAACTGTGACCAGGCATAACTTTCTTTCTAATCATTTACCAAGACAAAGATATTATTATAAAAGGTATTAGAAAATCAAATACAAATTTAGACCAAGACTTCCTAGTAAGTTACCTTAGTGCAATTTTTCTCCTATACCAATGACGGCTATATAATTTCCACCTAGATTAAAAAAAAAAAAAACTCAACACTATCAGTACAGTCACATGTTAAAGATAATAATAAATGCTAATATCTGAATGTTCTAAATGTGAAATATTCTAATGGTCTCAAGAATATGGAAAATCTTCATGAAATCATTACAATGGTTAATATTTTAAAACAAATCTTTAGAAAAGGAAATCTCACATAATGACATTACACATCTTAATATAATCTCATAATTTTGAAAACATTATGGCATTCACTGGAGGTGTTTTGATTAATGGGTTACAAACAAAAAAAATAAGGAAACTGAAAACTTTATTCAAAGGGAGTTTCCTTACAAATTTTAACCACAGTTAACCACAAGCTTTTGTCTATTCCACAGAAAATATACATAAAACAGACCATATATTCCCACTTAACTTTTTAAGACTTATATAGCGAGAGAGAGAGAGAGAGAGAGAGAGAGAGAGAGTGTGTGTGTGTGTGTGTGTGTGTGTGTGTCCACCTTATGTAGAGTACTTAGGAATTTCCTCCTCATAGTACTACTGAAGACATAGTATACAAGGTTTGGAACACTAATGAATAGATGTAAGAAACACCCCATAAAACATTTTAAGTTCTTGTTGTTATTGTTAAATGGAGTTAAGACTAAGCCTAGTTTTTCATAAACATGTTTTCTTCTACTAATAAATTAAAACTGTATCACTTAACACAATGTATTAACCTCAAATAAAATGAGCTATGGAAGTAAAAAAGTTCTTGAGAAGCTAGTTGCTACGTAAGTATTTAATACCTGTAGTGAAAATAACATTATGCTATTCATGCATTTCCCATAAATATTCTGTATTGTTATTAATCTGTAAAGCTTCAGTGTACAGGGGTTGGAATGGAGCTCGGTGATAGAGCCTCACATGCAGAAAGCCTGGGTTCTATACCCTGAATCACCTCTCCTCCAAAATCTGGTACATATTCAGGACCAAAAAGCATAGTGAATGCAATTCTGGGCTAAATAAAACATAATAGATACTGATTTACTTTCACTAAATAATTTCTATCTTTTAAATCGAAGAAACTCATCAGTACATAGATACATAAAATAAA